CTACTAGTAAGGCACCTGTTACTACTAGCGTGGCACTTGTTACTACTAGCTTCTTGTTACTACTAGTAAGGCACCTGTTACTACTAGCGTGGCACTTGTTACTACTAGCTTCTTGTTACTACTAGTAAGGCACTTGTTACTACTAGCGTGGCACCTCAGATCAGAAGTCTTCTTCCTGAATGAGTTCTCCCTTTCTCCCTGCCTGTGCAATGTATTGCCACTCCCATTCTCGTGGAAGCCGCTTGCCATAGTGGCGACCTTTCAACAAAGGGCTCGGGCTCGGAATCAGTTCATCTTCTTTTGGCAATTGCTCCTAGTAGCTAGCGTCCTCTTGTTCCTAGTAGTAAGGCCAGGAGCCCCTAATAGCGCCCTTTCTCCTAGTAGCGATGCCAGGAGCCCCTAGTAGCGTTCTTGTTCCCTAGTAGCATCAATATCTTGCTACAAGACCACATGACAGGTTCTAAGGGCCTGCCATGGCCAACGCCCAAACAGGAATTCGAGACCAAGTTCGAAGGCAGCAAATAGAATTGTGCAGAAACATGGAAGGATTGAAGAACATAAAAAGGACAAAGACGGAATTTGAAAGGACAACGAAGGATTCAGGAAAGTCATAAAGAAAGCAATGCTGTTCAAGAGGAAGGGTTTTGAAGGCCCTACTCAGCAAAAACAAACAACGAGGCATATGCATGGATTTTGCAGAGAAATTGATGGCACTATTCATGGCTACATTGACTGCATAGTTTGCATTGGCTGGTGCTTTTCTCCATGGAAAGTTTGGAGGGGGTTGGGGTGAGGGCGCAGCCCCTCCCTCCACAACCACACAAGAAGTCATACACATGGATGTTGCAAAATTGCACGCAGCACAGCTGTGCTCACTATAAATGCTGGACACTGCGTCAAAGAAAAGCTCCAAAGCAAAAAAACACCTAAACCAAAAACCAGAAGCAACTATATAGTGCGAACAAACCATTTCGGATGTGCAAGTGTTCGGCAGGTTGCAGTATTGCTCTGCATCCCAATGGCTCACCTGAAGCGGTCAAGGAATTTCTCAAGAAAAGCGGTGAAGACATCAGTTATCATTGTGGAGGCCATCGCTATCGGGTGGAGGCCATCGCTACTAGGGTGGAGGCCATCACTACTAGGGTGGCGGAGATAGCTATTAAGGTGAAAACATAAGTTATCATTGAGTTAGCGTCGTTGAGTTACATCCGTTTTGCTCAAATAGGTTCAGGTGAAGGCGCAAAAACCACTGGCTGCTTGGCGATGCTAGCTGGCATCGAAGAGGCACTGCACGTCTCACAATTCCAGTGTCTCAAGAAGTTGCCCTTGTCCCCCTGAAGCGGAGAAGCTCAAGCGACATTCCAACAGCCAAGCACATTGGCCTCCGTGTCTCAAAGCCCTAGGATCTCGACAGCTGGGAGAAACATGCACTTATGAAAAACTTTGTTCCCATTGCCACTTGTCAGAACTCTGGGGCTCAACAGGAGGCAATTTTCAATGGCTGGCACAGTGCTTGAATGAAAGTAACTATGTCAGTCTTAATGACAAGTTGTTAAGTCCACAAACTGCTCCAAGCCACTGGGACGTAAGATGTCTCCTTCAAAAAGGCCGCAAACATCTCGTTGGTCACGGGGAATCTCAGTTCCAAGGCAGGAACTAATCTCAAAAGAACTAATTAACCTTAAAAAACTAGAGTGTACAGTGGAAATAATGGAGCCCGTCGTCCACAGGCATGTGAGGTAATTGAAAGACCTCCGAAAACAACGAGCATGAACCAAATCCTCCTCCGCGTCACCAGGCTTTGCGGTGAAGCAACTTGTCTACCAAGAGGTCCTTGATGCTGACATTATGTGCGACGTGGTACTTCACAGCCTCATCTTCCCAGGGGAACCTCAGAGCAAAGAGTTTCAGCTTGAACTTCAATTGAAGGATCTGGAGAGTCCTATTGGCACCGTTAACTAACCTAACCCATCCTAAACCCTCCATCTCTGAAACCTATCCCAGAATCGTCTCGGACCCTTTGCCAGTCAAAGCTGCTGGACATCAACACCAAGTTTGACGAAGTTCTGTCCGCCACGATAGGTGTCTTCGATCTCCGACCCAACCACCTCGGACCATTGGGTGGAGCATGTCGGCACTTTCAACAAACGCGGGTCTTTTCGACCAATTCTAATGATAATGGCGCTTTGTTCCTAATTAAGTAGCTTCTTGCTCCTAGTAGTAACGCCGGGAGCCCCTAGTAGCATCCTTGCTCCCAGTAGCGATGCCCTTTGTTCCTAGTAGCTTGGCCTCCAACCTAGGTTAAGTCCAACTCAAGCCCAAATGCGCGGAACTCGAAGGCCGCAGAGCCGTTCACCACCACCATGCCGCCGGTGTTCGACAAAGTCCCAGCACCCCCGTCACCGGGATGGTAGGTTTGCTTTGCAAGCGAGACCTGGTGCGCAAATGAGCAGCGAGACCGGGCTGGTTTTGGGGGTCTTTGACGATCAATTCGTCGCGTGCCTTGTCTGCAAACGAGGACAACGGCTTTTCCTTGGCTCTTTCTGTGTGCAGAGATGAAGCATGAAACGAGCACACTCCTCCTTCTTTATCATGGCGCAGAAGCAGAAACGTTTGAATTCGATGGTGTGCCCTCAAATTTCCTCAGCCTCTTCAAATCGTACAGTAAATGCTACGGAGGACCAAAAGCTGCAGAGGCTCTAAAACTCATATCCAAATACAAATGATTTCAAGATATGATGGAACAGGGATTCGCTTCCAACTTCCAGGTCCCTCGATGCCTCAGGGGATCTCAGGGGTAAATCCCCTGGGCACTTTTCAGAGAGGAGCTTTCAAAGAAGAACAATAAGCGTTACTGTTGCCAAAAGAAAAGAGGCAGGGAAGTCTATGGGAGTCTCTAGCTGTTAACACGGCACCCACATGTACACCAATCATGTGAAGCAGCACTCCATGGCAAACATTACAGTGAGCACATGCTGCGACATTGTGTTTTGAACAGGTCATCTGCTGCGTCTCTACAGGGAGTAAAAAGCAGCTTGTCGAACTGCCCAGCATCTGTTGCAGTTCCCATTCGCCGAAGAAAATCGCGGTCATTAGGATGCATCTTTCCAACCCCTGGGAGGGCAAAAGCAATTGGAAACTTGAGGTTTCTGAATCGGTTTGCCAGCATATGTCAATATTGAATGTTCGACAGACGGATGTAAATCGTCTGGAAAAATGCAGAGCTTCAATGAGCATGAGAATGACGCCGATTGAAAGCTTGCAACATGCCAACTGCAGCCACGATGCGTACTTTTAGAATGGCACCGATGCCTCCGCCCTCCACGGACAGGTGCAGCTGTGCCGTTTGCCTAGGGGTTTCTAGCTACTAGTAGCTTCTAGTTACTAGAAAGCTTCAAAGACCTCCTAGTAGCGTCCTTGCTCCTAGTAGCTTCAAAGACCGTTCTTAGTAGCTTCTTGATCTTCTTGTTACTAGTAGTAAGAACGCTCCTGGGATGTCAAGCAATATTAAAAAGCTATATAGAATTATAAAATGAAAGATATTTAAATTATTAAAGATAGGTCTTTTACCTTTAAAGAAGAGAATCATAAGAAGAAAATGAAAGATCATATATTAATTATTCGGTTTTCCAGCTTCTTCCCGAGATCAAGGGTGAATATTAATGATGATTATGAAAAATAGAATGACAACCTGCCAAGATTCACCCAAAAATACAGATAAATTAATTCTCTAAATGAAATGGAATGCCGATAAAGATAAAAGACAATAATATATTTGTATCTTATGGTGAACACTTCATTTACAAAAGAGAAAGACATACAAATGAAAGGAAAATATTCTCTGCTTACCTTTTCCCTTTATATTTTGGATTAAATGTCCATCCTATATTACTAATTTCTATTCTTTGGACTCTTCTAATTCTACTTTATAATCTCTTAGCTATCAAGAGTTTATTCACATTCATATACGACAGGAGCCCCTAGTAGCGTCCTTGCTCCTAGTAGTAAGGCCAGGAGCCCCTAGTAGCTTCTTGTTACAGGTGAAACGATTCCCAAGGAAGCTTCTGAAACCGACTCCTTCGCACAGAAACGACTCTGTCCTGTCGCCTTCATGCGACAAAGCGGCCCTTGAGCCTTTCCACATCCCTTGGTCCCTTTAACCAATTATCCCCTTGGTTCCACCATATTCCACCGAATTATCCCCATAACCTCAAAACCTGTCGCAAGTTCCATCCAGCTACCACGTTGATTTGTCTCATCACCCCTGACATCTGCCGAAGAGCGCGCGGTGTATCCGCTCATTGCAGGACTTCACCAAACCTGCACGAGATCACGAGATGGAACAGCAATCAATGCCACCCAATCACCCGGCAACGGCAAATTGTGTCAACAATTGGACAGGTCAACGCCAAGTCACAAGTGTTGACCCGTTCCAGATGAACATCGTCCCCACGGTACCTCACAATCGAATCGTATAGAGACTGAATGAACTCAAAAGGGGTTCATGAAGTTCCTTCAGAAGTTCCTTCATCTTCAGTCTGAAAACGTTGTTGAGCCAAGTATCAGGTCATAAAATCGGAAGTGGTCGGATTGTGGCACTTGAAGCATCCAATCCTCTGAAAGCAAGTTCTCTCTTTGGTTTTGTCAGGTGCCACAAGTCATTGGACATCATGGGGCCATTCCTTTCAACTATTGCTAACTATTGTCAGACTCTTTACAAACACAAGCTTCTTGTTACGACTAGTAAGGCACTTGTTAGTAGAAGCGATGCACTTGTTTCTAACAGCTTCTTGTTACTACTAGTAAGGCACTTGTTAGTAGAAGCGATGCACTTGTTTCTAACAGCTTCTTGTTACTACTGGTAAGGCACTTGTTAGTAGAAGCGATGCACTTGTTTCTAATAGCTTCTTGCTACTACTAAAAGAAAAATGGGCCTTAGGTCTTAGAGTTTAACAAACTGCGACTGCAGGTGGTCTAGAGTTATCTGCTTTCGACGCCTGGGCGTCCGCAGTCTGCAGTCCAGTGTTGATGATCAAGAACAGCTCTCTATCCGAACCCACCTCAGAGCAACAACATGCTGAAGCTTAGTGCATGCTATGCCTATTGATGTTTGCTGCGTGCGCTGGGCAATCAAGCTGACGCCAGCATGAAGGTACGAAACTTTTGGATCCTCTTGGGCTAAAATGACGAGTTTGATGCCCTGAGCCAACCAAAGCCCTCTACACCCAGACCATGATATATGGCAATGGCCTTGTGCACACTAAGAAATGACAGCAATTAGCGGTGGCCTCCAACCTACTAGCGTCCTTGCTCCTAGTAGCAATGCCAGGAGCCCCTAGTAGCGTCCTTGCTCCTAGTAGCGTCCATTCCCATCTCCAAAGTCACAAATTTCGAGACGTATACATTCTCGCCCTTTGAGGTCAGCTTCTGGACGGGATAGAAGGGAAGCCATGCAACTCCTGGATCCTGGCACCGTCTGTTAATCCACTGAATCATTTTGCCGTTTGTACGCCATTTATGCTTACGTGTATGCTCACACCTGACTCTCCGCAGCTCAGTCGAGGCGCTGAGAGAAAGTGGCCAAAGTGGCGCAAAATGAGCATGGCACGCTTCAGCAGTTCTGCGTCTCGTGGGTTGATTCCATTCCTGGATCCCACGACACAGCTATGTAGTGGGGTTGTGGGGTCAAAAGTTACCAATTTAAGATAAGATTCCAAATGCCAAAAATGTTCTCCCAGGCAGCATAGCCAATCGCGTTGAAATATGCCGTCCTTAGTGATCAATTCTAGCAAAATTTCCGCGACATTAGTCTTGAAAAACAACGACCAAACAATGGCAAACATGCAAATCTCATCAACAGAATACTGTAATGTTTAAACAATTACATTGAACCATGATGCACCATTCAAGATCAAGAGTCAGGATTTCCTGTGATCTCTGTGTTGACCATCGCCCGCACACCTTAAGTGGCGTAAGGCCTACTTGGCTTACTCCATCCACAATCATGTTGGTCGTCTTGCAATGTCAAGTCGCATGCGGCATGGATCCTCGCGCAATCCATTTCTGCAGTGACACCAATGGGGCAAATGGCGTTCTTTCCTTCTGGTGTTTGTTTGGCACAAGAAACGGCCGGGGAGAGAGTTTGGAAAAAAATGATTTTCCGTTCATCACCCATCTGTCTTTTTGTGGAGCCCTACAAAAGGGTTGTTGAATGCATCGAGTGTCAGAACATCCAACAACGGGAGGACATTGCGCCAGGGTATAAAGCCAGCCCTGGGCAGTGGTATTCCTCAAGTTGGCAAATTGCATTGTGCACATGTACAATAAGGCCTCGAACCTAATAGCGATGGCCTCCAACCTAATGGCGTCACAAATAAACAGATTTCACAGAAAAGAAACTGCCAAGTGAGGCAAGCTACAAAAGAAAAAGGCCATCGTAGAGTCCAAGCTCTGGCTCAATGATGGCATGTTGAAGTCCTGCCTTCAAATTTCTGTTCAGTTTCTTAAAGTCGACAAAAACACGTGATTTTCTTTCAATTCCTGGTGAGACCTGCGCAAGACCCTTGCTTCCTCTCCGCATTTATCTTTCCTTTTCTTTCCTTTTCCATTCTTAGTTCCCAACATGTTGGAGCTGAAACCCCGCTCCTGGCGCGCTGCTGCGAAGAACTCCGTCACGGGCATCTCCTCGGAGTTGCCACCCGACCCCCCCACGCAACACCTGACAAGTGATGCGACCATCCCGCACTCAGACTCGCAGCGAAGGCACCGGCTTACTCTGAGATGGAGGTACCACAAAGGGTCCCAATGAGTCCATGGTATCCAAATTCAATCCATCCGCCCCGGCACGGGCCATCAGATCCGCATATCCTCGGTGTTCAGACTCTGCCGGAGCAATGAAGAAATGAGGTTCAGAAGCTTTGCGAATATAATTAGCCCCAACATGTCTTTTCTGCAAGCTGCTCGATGGGTCGTGTTGGCCCAGGCCGTTCGTGGCAATGTCCCATGGCCTCGCACATTCACTTCACAGGACAGCGGCCTTCTAATACTTGATTTCAACACAATATTTGTTCTTCCTTTCTATTAGCGATGGCCTCCTACCTAATAGCACAAAACACAAACGTCCAGAACTTCTGAGGCCCTGTCTTGTACGGAAGCCTCAGCAATGCAAGAAGCTCCACCGAAGGCATGCGTGGGCAGAAAGAAAAGGATTGGGAAGGGATGAGCAAATCAAACATCATCAATTCCAATGAGAGCAGCTGAACATGTGATTACGCACGTTTTCCTGTAAGTCAAAAAGGGCTGCAGTACATTCTGTGATGTCTTCTTTGCAATATGCACAAGCATTGGTCTGTACTGAACATGGTTCGCGCTCCTTCTTGGTGATGTGAGACCCTAAAAGCATCTTTGGGCTCACTTTGCCACCATAGTCCATTTTCTACCATTAAATTATTGTTTCTCTTTTTGTTCTGAGATTACCCATTGTTCCAGGAACTGGGTTCCTAGAGATTGTTCGCACCTCATGTGGTACACCTAAATGTTCTCTCATCCTGACTGCACAATCCAACTATTTCTCTTTCAACTGCATCTGCTGCTTCTGGTATTCCTCTTCCTAGCAAGTTGTAATGTCTTTCTACAAGCTGTTGTATTTTTGCGTCAAGTCTACCACACATTTGATTTGCCTGCGCTGCTTCATAATCTTGCCCGAATGAAAGTTCTCTGTTTCCTGGGCTGAATCTTCTGTATAGTGGTCCCTCTGTTGGGCTTGCTCCATTCGTAGCTGCTTGCAACATTTCCTCATGTCCATAGAATAGCCCGGCTGTTCTCTGCATTTCTTCTAAGCCCCTTCTGGCTAAGTAGTGCTTTGCATTCATCTCACGCAACATGTCATACACACTAATGGCTTGTGCGTTTGGTATTTCTTTCTCTACAAACCCTCCATTGAGATTCAATCCGCTGTGAATTCTTCTGACGTAGTCGTGTAGAGTATTGCTTCTCTCTCCATCACTATCCGTTTGACTGATACCTCTCTCCAATTTTCTGATGTCAGTAAGTTCTGTAAACCTGAACTCTAGGTTGTCTGATCTCCAATCAATGTGCTGCCGATTGTCATAGTAGCGTCTCTCTGTATGACCCCATTGCTCACCACTGTCCTTTTGGGGTGTCAGTTCAAGACGTTTGACTATTTAAAAACCACAAAGATCACAACCACAAGGAAAACGATGTTGATTGCAATAATCACCACCATCCAAAACTCCCAGTTTCCATTGGATTCCTTCATCTCCTGCAATCTCATGTCTTCCAACACCACACTGGATGTTGCCCCCTTCTGACAATCATCTTGGCAATCTTGGGGGCCTTTCCTGCAAACTTCTTCTCTTCAAATTACCTTCTCTCATATTCTCCTACTCTCACTTGGTCTTCACTGTGGCAATAACCCATGAGGTGAATCAAATATCTGGTTCTTTGTCCTCCAACTGCCTTTGCGTTGATGTCTGCCATGTTGCCATCTGTTGGTACTTGTACCGTCTTGAAGTCTTGTCTGTTCTGTACCCTCCTAGGCGTGGACACTCAACTTAAAGCAGCAGCTACTCTGTCAATCCATTCTTCTGGATCTCCTTCTGGTTCATATCCTCCATCACACCGCAAACATTCAGGTCCATTGATCTCTTCCAAGTCCGAGTCATCTTCTTCTTCATCATCCCACTCTTCTTCACCAACTTCTTCTGCAACTGGGGATAACTCCTACCATGTTTATATTGACTTTCTTGCTTGATTCATCTGATGGCCTGAGATTCTTCATTGGACTTTCCTCTTCAAGCAATTCAAACGCTTCTCTTGGTCTTGATGGCGCTGGTGGTGATCTCAATGAAGACAGAATAGGAGTAATTGGGCTAGGCTGTCCTGCTGGCAATGATGCAGAGGGAAATGCCTTCACTTTCTCAAGCGCCTTCTCATCTGTAAAGAGAACTTTCTGTTTCATATTTGGTGTCTCTTCTCCACTTGGCTTCCTGTCACCTCCATCTCTCTTCATTGCTTCAGCAGCGGTCTCGAGCGGGGCTGGAATTTCCACTGGCTCTGGGAATAGTGGCTCTTCTTTTTCTGAATCATTTCCTCCTTCCAGTGCAGTGCCTTGGCTATGACTGCTTCTAGACGAAATTGGCCTTTACTGCCTGATGGCACAACATGAATGAATCCAGTTTGGCTCTCAATTGCAACTAACCAACATACTGCTCTTGCTGACTTTGTCTCTGAGTCTCTTGCTCTTGCGTAGCAAAAAGTCAAAGCTTACCTCAGGAATACTTCCACTCTTTACTCCACCTGTTGGACGCGCTCGACGCTCAATGCACTCCCTACACCAAGTGGCATAAGGCATGTGTGTCAATGGGTGCCCCTTTGAGTTGCTTGATCTGGCATCTTTGGAACACTTTGTCCTAGTGCCTCTCTAGTCTCCTGAGCTTTTGCTTCACTGCATTCAACAACTCCATCTTCTTGTTGTGATTGAGGATCTTAGTGTAGACCTTTAGCTTAGAGCCACTGCCTGAAATGCCGAGAAATGAACAAGCTGCCCTCAGAGTCGCCAGAGATGAACCCTTAGCCAACTCTATTCCATTCAACAAGACTTTGTCTACATCCATTGGGCTCAAGTGTAGTTCACACGCAAGGTCATCTTCTTTCTTGTCTTTCTGACCTTCTACCTCCTTCTCCTGTGGGGTAGGGGTAATCTCTTCTAGCGCCTGTTGCACTTCTTTCTTTGCTCTCCGTTCTCAAGCTTCTTGTGTCCTGGTGACCTGGTGCAAACAATCCCAGGTCCTCTGGTGTAACATGGCCGAAGTTTGCGATTGAAGGAATGACTGCATCATCATCAAAGAACTGCTCATGAAAGTTCCTCCATGTTCGCTCTCACAATATTCACATGTCACATATTAGCCATCTACCTCCTCTCTTCACCAAAGTGGTCCTCATCAGGTCTGGTGATTCTTCCACTTCTGGAATGACTGTGGGGTCCACCAATCTTGAAGGCAAAAAAACTTTCAACGAGCAGTCCATGTTCATTGAATCTCCAACCTGGTTCTTTTTCAAGAGCTTCCGGCACTTGCACTTCCAAGCAGTTCTCATCTTCATCTCCACTGGCTCTAATGCGGCCTTGAACTGTCAAAGAGCGATTTTGTAAGTTGAGTGGTACCTTCAAGTCACCGTTCTCCAACATTTGCTCTCTGCTATTGATTCCCCAACCATGCTCCATCAGCCTTCCATAACAAAATATGGGCTGATTCACCTTGGAACTGAAGATTGCATTCTCTTTGGGAGAACTTCTAGTCCATCAAGGTCACGCAAAGAAATTTCAACACTTTTCGCACCTCCTGTAGGGGCACGGTTTCCTTGTGCATCTTGTAGCTTAGTCTTTGCGCCGAATTGTAGTTCTCCTTCCCCGCGAACCGCGACAACCAAAGGGAATAATGCTACATCTACCACTGTCAATAATACATCCCCATTCTCTTACCCAAGTCTCCTCACGATGGGTTCATCATCTGAGATTGAAATTGACATCTCTTCAACTTCCTGGATCTCTGACTCATCATCATCATCATCATCATCTCCAATGTAGAAATGAGTTACTCTGATCCCCTGGTCTTCTAGCTCATCATCTCTCTCCCTCAAGTCAAGGATGACTGGCTCACTGTTCTCAATTCTTCTGACCACTGATTTGGCCTCTGCTGAGCTACTCTGTTGGCTCACGGCTCACACTGGCATGCTGTTGACCAACTGTCACAGATGCCCCACCTGAAGATGAATGGGTTTGATCACTTGCTACCTGTCAAACATTGCTCCTCCAACAGTCTTTAGCAAGATGCCCTGGCTTTCCACAAGTGCGCAACACCTTTGCCTTTCCCTTTCCCTTATGATCACCTTCTTTTCCTTTCTGATCTCTGTTTCCTTTCTTCCCTTTGCCCTTGGCATCTTTACCTTTACCTTTCTGATGGTCATTCTTACCCATCTTACCTTTTCCTTTGGCATCTTGGACTCTATATCAACTTCCATTGGCATAGGTCCTTGGTAATCTGTACTGCTACTAGCCACCATGGAAGTAGCCCACTTCTGCTGAGATCTACCCTACTGCAACACATGTTCTCTCAAAGTTGAGTATTGAACATTGTCACCAGTTGTCAAGTTCAAGTAGGACTTGAGTTGCCCACCTACACATCTCAAAAGAATAGCAGATTTCAACTCTTCCTGAATTTTAGTCCCTGCCTTGACAGTCTCATCAAATACGTCTTCAGACTTCAGGAGTTGAGGTTGTAGCGCACTGTTCATTGAAAACGCTGGCCACGTAGCGACTGCTCGCAAGAGTGCCAAGTCTCTTGCCTTCGAAGTTGGCTTCAAAGCCTTACTCAAACTCCTCCAGGCATCAAATCCATTAGGTCTTCCACAGCTGTAGAGCTTGATGCATCTGGTCTTCTGTCTTCTCTGCATCAGTCGCCAAGTCCATGTCAAATTTCCCATTTGGCTTGTCACGAATTTTCTTCAGGTCCTTCATGTAGCCGTCATCAGCTGCACCCAAATACTTCTCAAAGATCCATGGCCACTCTCTGAGTGCCTTGATCTCTTCATCTTGTGACTTATAGTCAAATATGTTGGGCTTTGCAATCAGTTTTGACCCATCTGTTGTTGGCGGCTTCTTGTCTTCAACTGCCTTCTTTACTGCTGCCGATGTTGTTGCGGCTGTTGCCAGCGTACTTTGTACTAATGTCCTTTTGACACAATGTACTGGCTACAAAGTGTTGCCCACAACAATTCTTCACCAGTCCAGCTGCAAAGGCCCCAAATCTATGGCTCGAAATCGCACCGGGATTCCAGTGACCTAGGGGAGGGGTTACCTCCTTCTCAGCCTTGCTACCATACGCACTTTTTCCTGTAAGTCAATAAGGGTTGCAGTACATTCTATGATGTCTGTTATGCAATATGCACAATCACTGGTCTGTACTGACAATGGTTCGCAATGATAAAATATGTAAATTTAAGAGCGGGAAGTCCATCACAACTGCCTCTACCTGATTTCCCCTACTCTGAATGAGCACACCTTCCGCTGAGTGGCTGAATCAGGAGTTTGGGGTTGGCTTGCCTGAAGGCCTTGGTGGAAAACGTCGCAAAGAACATGAGCGAAAACAGCTGGCACTTCTTCTTTGCAAAACCAGTCACAAATCAGTAAACTAAACTTAGTAAAGAAGCTACTAGGGGCTCCTGGCCTTTCTACTAGGAACAAGGACGCTACCAGGGGCTCCTGGCATCGCTACTACGAGCAAGAAGCTACTAGCAACATTGTTCACCAACGCTTCACCTCAAAGCCTCCGTTGAACTACGCGGCGTCCACAGCGGAGTGCAAACCACCAGGTAAGGAGTCCATCAGATCAAGATTGCTGCGAGTGTCGACCTGAGCCAAGTTTCACTGCACTAGGCATTTTCCACCAAGTTTTGATTTAGGTTCGAACAGTAAATGAAAGATACGCTTGTGCAATTCTGTTGAGCACATATGTGTTCTCAACGTTCTGCCACGCTCGCTCGAATCTCCAAGCTCCAAGCCCCGAGATTCGGATAGCCAGCCCAAAGCAGCACTTGATCCACCCCACCGAAACGGTCCTTCAAATCGTTCAGGTAGGCGACCTTGGAGCCAAGACGGGACAGTCGGCGGATCCTCTTGTTTGCGCACTCGAGTTGTCAGAAAAACTTAGGCCAAAACAAAGAGAAAGGCTTTAAACTTTGGCGGCCAAGGCACCGCCGTATAAGTGTTTCGGACCGGGTCGTACAGCTTGCGATCGTGAATCATCGTCTGGACCTTGCGATTGCAATGGCCACAACGGCTTTTCGAAGGGCATGTTGAATGGGGCGACTAGTTTCCCCAATAGGAACCATGTCCTTCCGTGCTTCCTGTCGCTTGTGCAACTTGCCCCGCTACCTCATATTGTGATTTTGTTGAGCTTGGTCGTTCTCCTTCGAAGCCCAAAAAGGGCGCACTACGTTAATGTGACCCTCCACCGGATGCTCAAGCCTGAGGTGACGAAACCGACCGTTCGCTGCCATCTTTCGTGGGTCATGGGGCCCCATATTGCACATCGTATAACATGCAATGCTGCAAATATACAAACACGTACAGTACTGTATGCAAAATATCAACACGTGACGCGTACGTGTATAGCATATTCAGATCTGAAGACTTTAACTGAAGATTTTGTTGGTACTATGTTTGGGGTGGTCTTCTTGCCCGGTCACAATCATTGACATTGTTTTATTCCTCCCAGTTCCTTACATGGAAATGATTGAGCTCAAATGCTCTTGTAAACTATGTATCAAGCTCTTTTTTCACAAAGTCCTGTTGAATTCCTTTGAAGTTCTTCTCAATTGACATTTAACTTCTTAATTGGATGTCAACATCCTTTTCAAGAATTGATTTCCTTTAAACGATATTTACGAGCAAAAATTCTGCCCAAAAATCCGGCCACTAACGATTTACCCTGCTGGGGCGGGTGCCTTTTGGAGCTGCGCTAAAACATATATATATATATATGTGTGTGTGTATTATATTCTATGTACTTCAGGTTGGTTGTAACTTTAGTCTGTGCTTTCTTGACACGTCAATGTAAAAGTGTAAAAGCTGAAGCGAGAAGCCCTGCCAAAGGCGACCAAGAAAGCGCCAAAGGCCAAAAGCCCTCAAAAGCCACCAAAGCTAAGGCAAGAATCGGGAAGAATGTTATTGGCAGTGACAAAAACTAAATATATACAGTTAAACCATATTTAGCAATTAATACGACAGCGGTCTATCGAGTCTATCATGTCAAAGGCCTTCTGGTCCTCATCCAAGTAGCGGTCACAAAAGCATTGCTGCTACGGCGAAACTCTGGCGAATCGAACTCACCTGGTGAAAGAAATCAATCCAGTGCTTGAGTCTGCTTGAGCTATTCCCGTCTTTGAGTCAGTCATGAGTCGTGACATGTCATCGGTCTCGACATGACTTTTTGGCCTGATCCTTGTGCCCACGGCAGCGTGGAGAGCTGATGCTGCAAGTTGTGCAGACTCAAAATCCACACCGCCCAATCATTCTCATTCGGGCCCCGAACGCCTCAGGCAACAAGTCTGGCCGTCACCCGATGAGTCATGGGCATTCATCTGCTTTTTGCTTTGGTAAATGGGTCGAATGAAAAGGCATGAAAAAGATATCGATTTCTGGACTGAATCATCCAGAGCTCGTGTGGAAAAGTCTCTCACTTTCTCGCCTTCATGGAAGAAGTCGGCCGCAGGTGGGAATCCTGGCTGACAGCCTCCACCGCAGCGAGCCACGCAGGTTTCATAGCTCCCCTGGCAGCTTTCAACAAGCATGAACTGAGGTGTGATGAAACACCCATGAAATCAAACCACGTGATACTCTTCATGAGGCTCTTTATGGTACCGGTGTCATCCTCAAGCCTCTCACCTTGCCAGGCCCTGACCCACTCTGCACCTGCCCCCGGAAGTGTTGATCCTCACCAGGCAGGCAGCTCCGCAAACAGCGGCCGCAGCCAGAGACTTCGCTCAAATTGCCCAACTCTGCAGTGAGCCAAGGCTGGAGCGCCTCAACGGCAGCACAGTTTCACTCTATGTGGAGCGCTTCTAGTTACTAAGAAGCTTCAAAGACCTAAAAGGTTTCTTGTTACTACAGGTGAAACGATTCCCAGGAAGCTTCTCATGTTTCCTTTCGTATCAGTACATGTGTACTTCATGTTACTTACTGTAGTCAGCACATGTGAATCTTTAAACAATCGTGGCCTCTTTTGCGCTTGAGTCAGTAGTTCTCAATCGATCCAGTTGTCACCCAATTTCAGGGGTGGCCAGCGTGGTTGGTCTACCATCAAGCCAGTACGCTCACAACTTCGCCAGGTTGGCATGCCCAGGTATCAGTGAGAGCAACCATGGAAAGGGGCAGGATATAAAACATCCGAACGGCTCAAGAACATGTGCTTGTTTCACAGCAACGGTTTTCTACATACAGTAAATGAGAAAGGTGTGCCAAGGGTTTCATCAAGACGATCTGGTTTCAAAGGTGTTTCTAAGGTGTTTTTCTGTTGCATGTGCAGTGTGATAGTCAATCATCGCCTTGCTCACCGAGAGTTGAAGACTGTCAGGCGGTCCCTGAGCTACAGTCTCCCCGGTGCCTCAACCAAGTCAGCAGCCGTGCAAGTGATGCAACAAGCCGCTTTGAGACGAAAGTATTCCTTTGTCATATCATGCAATATCATGCAATCATTGAAAAAAAAAACGAGCATTCGTTGAAGGAAGTGCGATCCGCTCCCCAGCGAAAGGGCCTTAGTCTTACTCGAAGCCCTTCATACATTATCTTCACGGTGCATTCTTGTTCCAAACTGAGGAAGAGGAAAAAAGAAACAGCAAAAGGTAATCATGCTCCAGTCTTGACTTGAGCCCTTCTCTGTTCACGCTCGCTCTTCCAAAACCTGCGGCAAAATGTGTGCCCGACATCTGACAAGGTGCTGGACACCGAGATCTGCAAAGCATGAAAAGCCGGGGAGTTGCCCAAGGTGCCTGAAGACGTCACGCCGCCGACTCAGAAATTGAGCTCATTTAACCTAGAAGCAATGGCCTCCAACCTACTAGCAATGGCCTCCAACCTACTAGCAGCCTCCAACCTACTAGCGATGGCCTCCAACCTACTAGCGATGGCCTCTAACCTACTAGCGATGGCCTCCAACCTACTAGCAGCCTCCAACCTACTAGCGATGGCCTCCAACCTACTAGCGATGGCCTCCAACCTACTAGCGATGGCCTCTAACCTACTAGCGATGGCCTCCAACCTACTAGCGATGGCCTCCAACCTACTAGCGATGGCCTCCAACCTACTAGCGATTTCCTCCAGCCTACTAGCGATGGCCTCCAACCTACTAGGGATGTCCTCCAACCTACTAGCGATGGCCTCCAACCTACTAGCGATAGCCTCCAACCTACTAGCGATGGCCTCCAACCTACTAGCGATGGCCTCCAACCTACTAGGGATGTCCTCCAACCTACTAGCGATGGCCTCCAACCTACTAGCGATGCCCTCCAACCTACTAGCGATGGCCAAGCCATGGCCTCCAACCGACTAGCGATGGCCTCCAACCTAGGGGCTCCTGGCATCGCTATTAGGAGCAAGGACGCTACTAGGGGCTTCTAGCATCACTACTAGGAGCAAGGACGCTACTAGGGGCTCCTGGCAGCGGTTTTAGGAGCAAGGATGCTACTAGGGGCTCCTGGCATCGCTACTAGGAGC